CCCGGACTCTACTCTCCCAGTTTTGGGTGCAAACGTGTAGTACCAGACCCTGTCTCCCACTTGGAGTTCCTCGTAAGAGGCCTTTTGGTCGTAGTACGCTTTGCGTCCTTCAGCTGATTTTTCCAGGTTTTTCTGTGCGAAAGCAAAAGTGTTTTTAAGGTGTCTTTCCAAGTCTTTCATGTATTGTTGTGTAGTGTAGGCTGTTGCCATGGCAGCATCGCCTGGTTGGTACAACAGGTGCAGAGGGAGAGTCATTTGTCGACCCGTCATCATCTCGAAAGGAGCGATGCCAGTCGACGTGTGTGGAGTGGCCCTTATGGCCATGAGGACCAGAGGGAGTTTCACGTCCCAGTCCTTGTGGTTTGCGGCTACGTATTTTTTCAAAATACTCACCACAGTCCTGTTTGCTCTCTCAACCTGGCCTGAAGCCTGTGGGTGGTAGCCAATATGGAAGTTGGCTTTGACGCCTAGCGTCTTCCACAGTTCCTTCATTACTTCACCTGTGAAGTGTGTACCTTGGTCTGAGTTCACCCTAAGGGGAAGTCCAAACCTTGAAAATACATGATTCATTAATAACATAGCAGTGGTTTGTGCTGTGTCATTAGGGGCTGGTAGACATTCTACCCATTTGGTAAACGCGCAGGTTACCGTGAGAAAATATTTATTTCCTCTAGAGGTCTTAGTGAGTGGTCCGACCCAGTCAATCTGGAGGTCCGACCATGGAAATGCAATGCCTCTACTATGCAGTGGTGCTCTGTGAAGTGGTCTGGATGGTTGAAACTGGCCACAGATCAGGCACCCTTTTATGTAGTCCTTGACATCCTTTTTCATTCCAGGCCAATAAGCAATTTGTTTTAATGCTTTCAGCGTTGCATTGTCACCCTTATGTCCTGCGGACGGAAGGTCATGTGCATGGACTAACATCACCCCCCTGTGGTCATGGGGGACCACGAACACAGGTGAGGACGTCCGTCCATGAGCAAAAGTTAGGATGCCTTTAAGTAGTTTTAGCTGTTTGCGCAGCTGAAAGAGGACTTTGAGGTCTGGATTGGAATCCAGCTCGTCTTTCGATGGAGTGTATTTGTCTGGGTCAGTCAGATACAGCATCATCGAGTTAATTGCAGGATCCAACTTCTGAAGTTGGATGATGTCTGGGTCAGTCAGCATCGGGCGTACAGAAACTGTGTTATCAGCAGGTTTAGCTGCAGCTTGTGCGCGTGTGACTGCCATTACCTCAGTTGTAGCTTGTGACGACTGAGTGTTGAGTAGCCAGGAGGGGTCAAAGGACCACGTGGGTCCGTCAACGGCTCCTTCTTTGGCTAGGGAGTCTGCAAGGTCATTGTAGTGCTTGTCATCGCCTGGGACTCTAGAGTGTCCTGGAACTTTCTTCCAGAATATCTGTAGATCATGTGATGTCACTAAGTGATCACATGTCATGAAAAGCTCT